GGTGTAGGATCATGGTATTAATCTGCCTTGGTGTGTCCCTCTTCCAAGATCCTGCCCCATCTCCTGGTGCCATCATATATCCTAGCACCCACAACTTCCTGTAGCAGGAGACCCACAGCACCACTGGGTATTGTGCCACAAGCCCTCTTCTTTGGGGATAACTCAGCCTGTCTCAGTTGTGAGTGCTGTGTGCCTGACCTGGGATGTGGAGAACCAAGGTGCAGCAAGTCTGGGTGACCCCAGCCCAACCTTGCAGAGGGGACTTGCTGGGCAAGACGGTGTGTGTGCAGCAAACAGCTTTTCCTCTTCTTCCTAATGTTCCTGGATGAACATCCTGATGTTTCTGCAGCCATTCAGTACTAGGCATCTCCCCAAACCCCTCCTTTTCTGGGAAGAAGCTTCTGTACAGCTGTCAAACTTGAGGCCAGGATGGAACATCCAGGTGCCTGGAGATGTCTGCTAAAGACAGGACGTGTCTGGGATCACTCAGGATTGTTTGTCCTTTCTCTGAGAGGATGAACTTGAGTAAGGACACTTGCTGTAGTATGTATCCCTTCCTGGGGAGGGTGCTCCATTTTAGATTATTGGACTGCAGGGCCTGACCCAGCACTGCTGTCTGTCCCTCTGTGTGTGTGTCCAGAGGAGCTGGCTGTGGTGAAGGGACTGTTCACCACGTGGTGCAAGCAAGAGATGGGACTCCAGGGCAAGGTGGGGGGATACCTGAGACATCTGAACGTTCTTGGTTGCTCCCAGGGGACATGCTGCGCCTACGCACAGTGCTGGAGGCCATCCAGAAAAACATCCACTCCTCCTCCTTGATCTTCAAGCTGGCTCAGGATGCATTCAAGATTGCCACACCAGCCGACAGCAACTCTGACACAACACTGCTCAATGTGGCGCTGGAACTGGGGCTCCAGGTACGAGATGATGCTGGGGATGCTGGTGGCCCTTTTGCCCCCAGTGCCATGGCAACTGTGCTGGTTATGGTCTTCTGCCAAGCAAGGTGTCCCCTGTGAATGGAGTAAAGTGATCCCTGCATGGTCCTGAGCAGGGGACCTCAGCCCTGGGAAGCCCCTCTGCTCACTGTGGTTTGTAGAGGTGAGGCAGTGCCAGGTAGCCAGTTGAACCAGAGGGATTTTTGGGCAGCATCGCTTTGGTGGGTGGCCTCACTAGAGCCCTGCAGGGCAGCCAGTCACTTCAAGTTTGCCCCGCAGGTGATGCGCATGACCCTGTCCACCCTCAACTGGCGGCGGCGGGAGATGGTGAGGTGGCTGGTGACGTGTGCTACTGAAGTGGGTGAGTTCCATGTGCAGTGGGAGGATCTGGCCTGCATGCAGTGGGAACAGGGTTAGGCATGGAGATCCTAGGGTCATGCCTAGCTCTGAGCTTCTCCCAAGTCTCTCATTTCTTCCTGCGTAACTGAATTCACCTCAGAGCACCAGCTGACAGGGTTGGGACTGCAGCAGTGGCCAGTGGGACTGGGATGGGTGCCCTGTTACCTGGCCCAGCCCAGTGGTGGTCTCTGTGCCCTGCAGCATGGCAGTGCAGGTTGGCCTCTGCCTGTCCCCCTCTGCCCTCTCCCTCTTGGGGCAGAGGCAGCAGCTCAGCACTGCTGTTGGCTGGTTTTGCCCTGTCTCTGGGTCTCGGAGGAGCCCCATGAACTGAGTCAGGTTCCAGGGCTGTGCTGTGACCACGGTGTTTTCTTGCAGGAGTGAGGGCCCTGGTGAGCATCCTGCAGAGCTGGTACTCATTGTTCACACCCACGGAAGCCACCAGCATTGTGGCAGCCACGGTGATGTCCCACAACACCATCCTGCGCCTGAGCCTGGACTACCCACAGAGGGAGGAGCTGGCCAGCTGTGCCCGTACCCTGGCCCTGCAGTGCGCCATGAAGGACCCCCAGAACTGCGCCCTGTCTGCCCTGACCCTCTGTGAGAAGGACCACATCGCCTTCGAGACGGCCTACCAGATAGTCATTGATGCTGCCTCCACCGGCATGACCTACACCCAGCTCTTCACCATCGCCCGCTACATGGAACACCGGGGCTACCCACTTCGAGCCTTCAAACTGGCCTCGTTGGCCATGACACATCTCAACCTGGCCTACAACCAGGACACGCACCCAGCCATCAATGATGTGCTCTGGGCCTGCGCCTTGAGCCACTCTCTGGGCAAAAACGAGCTGGCAGCCATCATCCCACTGGTGGTGAAGAGCGTGCACTGTGCCACAGTGCTCTCGGACATCCTTCGCCGCTGCACCATGACAGCGCCAGGGCTGGCCGGCATCCCTGGGCGCAGGAACTCGGGGAAGCTGATGTCCACTGACAAAGCGCCCCTGCGGCAGCTGCTGGACGCGACGATAAGCGCCTACATCAACACCACCCACTCCCGGCTCACCCACATCAGCCCACGGCACTATGGGGAGTTCATCGAGTTCCTCAGCAAGGCCAGGGAGACCTTCCTCCTGGCGCAGGACGGGCACATACAGTTCGCCCAGTTCATTGACAATCTTAAACAAATCTACAAAGGCAAGAAAAAACTGATGCTGCTGGTGCGAGAACGGTTTGGGTGAGCCCTGGCTCCTGCCATGCTCACTGGCAGGGTCTGGCCGCAGCACGGGGACTTGGGAGAGAAGAAGGAAGGAAAGTGGAGATCAGCTTCCCCCCCACTGGCAGAGGCTGCTCTTTTCTGGTCTTCTGTTTCTTTTTTTTTTGTTTGTTTGTTTTCTTTTTTTTTTTTTCTTTTAGTGTTACTCTTTCTTGGATTTAACCATTTCACACACTGAGAGGATCCAGAGATTCCTTGGGCACAAACCAAAAGGCAACCACGGGGAAAAAGGATGGTTTACTCAGCCCCCTGCCCTCCCTTGCCAATACCAAAAGCTAACCTGGAAATCTAATACCTCTTTCCTAAAGGACGTGGTCACTGGAGGGATACGAAGGTTGCAAAGTGAAAAATCTTTAAAATTATGTGGGGAATTTAACAAAAAAAAGGAAAAAAAAAAAAAAAAAGGAAAACAAAAAACGAGCAAAGAAACCTGCGACACTAGAACCTCATGCGTCACCAAAAGCGATGGCTTTGCAGAGCGCTTCTCCCGCCCGCCCGAGACATGCAAACTCCTCTATTTGTGAAGATACTTCAATAAAAACAAGTAAAAGTAACTGTTCTCAGGGATTGCTTACTAAAAGTAACACAAAAAAAAAGCATTTATGATACTGTAAATACTATAGTATATGTGTCAATTATTAAATTGTAAAGTTATAATTATTTATAATTCTGTCTTTTATTTGGGGGATACTTGAAATTGTTGTGGGCTGGGGCGATTATTTTTATTATTGCTATTATTATTATTATTGTTATTATTATTATAACTATTATTTAAAAAACCCACACAAAACCACAGACAAAAAGAGGAGGAGGCACGCGAACATTTCTCAGGTTCCCATGGCATCGTCAGCAGCAAGAAGGGTGTGGGGGGGAGGCGAACATCTACTCGACTCAGCCCTGGGATGGACGGACAGATGGATGGAGGAGCAGCAGCCCGGCACTGGAGGATAGCGAAGGAAGGACCTCGGGACGATGCTTGCTCGGACACACGCAGATGCTGGCGATGGAGGACTCAGCCCATCGCAGGGTGGGTGCAGGGTGGAGTGCCTGGGCGGGCACCAGGGCTGCCGGCTCCAGGGGAGGGAGGGGCACCCGCGTCACCTTCCCCACACCGTTCCCAATTCCGTGGTGCAGCCAACGCTTGGCCCTTCCTGGCTCGCCCCGCACTGGGAGCACACTCCAGCCCTGGGCCGGTGGCTCTTCAGTTTTGGTTCGTTTCTTTGCCAGCAGGTTGGGAGGGCTGGGGGGGGCCAGGGCCGGTCTGGATGGTGACTTGTAGTTAGAGAACGTGCGCTAGTTATCTGCTGTCTGGTTTCATTTTTTGGCAAGTGACTCATGTCTGCGCTCTGGCCAGGAACCCAATTGTACTCGGTCTGTGTCGCCACCAAAATAGCAGTCTTCAACCAGTCTGTTTCTCTTTTTTTTTTTTTTTGTTTTGTTTTGTTTTGCGTGCGTGCGTGTATGTGTGTGTGCGACCTCTTCATCTGATGTTTAATAATAAAAGGGATGAACATTACCACCTGTGTCTCTCCTGCCTTTCTCTGAAGTCAGGGGTGGTCACCACACTTGTGCAGAGCAGTGTCACAGCCTCCTGTGCTAGCCAGCTCCTGTGCCCCAAGGAGGAGGACAGAGCAGGTACAAGGGACCCTGGCTGCTTCTGGGTGCAGTTCCCTGCTATGTACAGTGTTAGCAGGTCCTTGCCCATGCTGGAGACACTGCCCTGTCCATGCCAGCTAGAACAGCATTTCTGCCCGTGTCTTAATCCATCCTGCTGCCAACCTGGACCACACAGAGTGTGCTGCAGTGTGGGATGGGGTGGCAAGGAGCTGTAACTCAAGGTTTCTGGGCTGCTTTTTGCAGGGTTTGCTGAGCCCAGGCAAGCTTGGCCCCGAGGATCAGAGGAGATGGGAGGTGTACATGGGAGAACACTCTAGGACCTAAAGAGGCTTTAGGAGCTGGAGGAGGAAGGCCATGGTGCCTCTGCTGCCATCCCAGCCAGTGTGGCAGGGTGCTGGTGGTGCTGTGTCAGAGGTTCTCCTGCCACTTTGCCAGCTGTCTCCAAGGTGAGTCCTACTGTGTCTCCCAGCCCCTTGAGACTACTCTGGTTTGAGGACACATTGCCCATTCCAACCTGAGCAGGACTGTGGGACAGCTAATGCTGAACCTGTCCATCCTCAGATGGCTGTTGTAACCTGGGCTCACATCCTCTGCAGCCTGGCAGGGAGAGGCACCCTCCACAATTTTCTGCCATCCCTGTTTCCCCATTTTGACCTGCAGGATAGGGCTCAGGGGCTCGCCCTCACTGCACATGCTCCTCTAGTAGCCTGCCATGACTTCCCAGCTCCTTCAGGGCTATCCAGTTCCCCATCCCCCAGCCAGAGTCACACGGCTGCTGCAGAGAAGGTCCTGGTTTAATGCTGCAGCCCAGCCTAGAGTGAGCCCTCTGACAACATGGGTGACTGTGCCCAAACCAGAGTCCTGTCCCCAGGGCCCATGCTCAGCTGTGCTTGTTGATATGACGGGAATGAGCATGCACGGCTTCCACAAAGGCACCCACATGTTCAGGGTTCATGTCAGGGTAGAGGCCATGGCCCAGGTTGGCAATATAGCGTTGGGTCCCAAAACTCTCCAGCATCTTCTTCACCAGCTCGCCAATCTTCTCCTGTAGGTATGGTAGAAAACCATATGTCAGACCAATCCAGCTCAGGGTATTTCACCCCCTACTAGTTCCCCCCCTCCCCTGGGAGGAGCCTGGGGGACTGCTGGGACATAAGCCAGTGCTGCAGTGGGGAAGCTGAGGCAGAAAGCTTCTAAGACAGGCTTGAAGTAGTTGCTGGCAATGGCCATGGCTCACCTTGGGTGCATAGAGAGCACATGGATCCAGGTTCCCTTGCAGGGTGACTTCTTTTCCTACCTGTGCACTGCAGCAGGGAGGAAGCAGGTGAGTTGCTGCATGTGGTAGAGGGGCTGAGGGCAGCCAGGTGCCTGCAGCCCCTATCACAGGACACCCAGGACCCCTCAGCACAGCCTTTAGAAGCTTGTAGCATGGTAGCCCAACTATCCTCACCTTGGAAGCAGCAATGTCCAGACCAATGTCCTTCAGAGAAGGAGGTCAGAGTACCTGGCCTGGGATCTTGGCCAGACACCTGAGCCCTGTGTCAGACTCTTACCGAGCTTCCTGGGGCCGGATGGTCCAGTCGAGACCAACAACCTCATAACCTGCGTGGGCCAGGTCACGCAGGGCATAGTGCGCATCCTTGGCAAAGATGATCTGGGGAGGGAGGAGATGGGCAGCAACTGCTGTGAGTCAGAGCCCTCTCCATGGGCTGGACTGAAGGAAGCAGGTAGCAGGGAATGCACCCCTCTCCAGCAGCCCTCAGATGTCAGGGTCAATCCAGGCAGCCCTGACTCACCATGGGCACCAGGGGCAGTGCCTCCTCCTTCAGCTTGCTTTTGACAGCCTGGGCAATGTCTCGGATGTAAGGCAGGGCGAAGTCCTGAAACAGCTCTGGGCCCAGGTGCCCTGCATGGGACTCAAACAGCTGAAGCGCCTGCCAGGGACACAGAAACCTTTAGGCTGGAAAAGACCTTCAAGATTATTGAGTTCGACCATTAACCCAGCATTGCCAAATCCACCAATAAAGCATGTCCCCAAGTGTCCCATCTACTTGTCTATCAAACACCTCCAGGGATGGCGACTCAACCACTTTCCCATGGGACTGGGAGAGCAGATCCTCAGTCCCTGTATTCCTTCTTGTCCTTGTCTCCATTGCCCCAGGACAAACCTGTGCTCCAGCAGCCACCTGCCCCACCAGGTAGTCAATGATGACGTCGGCCAGCAGCCGTAGCAGCCGGTGGCTTGCCTCAGGGTGACGGTAGAGCCAGCTCTTGGCCTTGGCCATTGTAGTGGAGCCACCGCCTTCAATCATGTAGGACATGAGTGTCCACTGTGAGGAGAAGTGAGGGGAGTGATGGAGATGAAAGAAGACACAAAGTCCCAGTCGTAGTGCTGAAGGTAGGACCTGTGAGCACCCCAGAGCCTGGGGCACAGCTGCTCCTGCATTGAATGCTGCCCCTTACGCACCCATGTAGCACCCATAGCTGGGGGTGCCATAGCTGGTCTCACCCCGAGAGCAGAGGAGTCCATTAGGGAAACCCACACAGAGGAGCCACGTCACTTACCGGTGCCCCTGAGAAGCCAATGAGGGGCACCTTGCCCTCCAGGCTGTGTCGTGTCAGTGTGATGGCCTGGAAGACGTAACCTAACTCTGCGGTGACATCCACCTTCTGTCGCAGTTTCAGCAGATCCTCCACCTCCTTCAGAGGCTCTGTGAATGTGGGTCCTTTACCAGGGACCATAACAACCTCCATGCCCAGTGCCTGGGGACAGGGGAGAATGGAGAAGCAGGAATGGGGCAGCCCTGAACTCTGCCCTGTTGCCAGCTGCCGTTTCCCATGGCATTGGCCATGGCTCTCACCTGGGGCACCACCAAGATGTCAGAGAAGATGATGGCAGCATCCAGGGGGAATCGTCTTAATGGCTACACAGAGGAAGAGGCAATGTTAGTGAGGGGTTGCAACTCTCTTCCCGTGGAGGACGTGCTCAAGCACACGAGGAAGTCGAGTCCCCAAGGGCTGCACAATTTACTGAGGCCACCCAGGACGGTCAGAACCAAGGTTTCTCCCCATATCCATCTGGGCAGGGAGAGGGGACACACAGACCCCTGAGTGATGCTCACCTGCAGTGTCAGCTCACAGCACAATTTGGGGCTCCGGCAAGTGGCAAAGAAATCCTGTGAGGCCCGTGTCTCCAAAAACTCTACAAGGGACCACAACAAATGTTACTGGGTTCTTCCTGAGGCCCCTTCGCTACCCCCCGCACACCTCCACGGCTCACCTGGCAGGTACCGGCCGGCCTGCCGCATGCACCACACCGGGGTGTGCTCCGTCTCCTCCCCACGCGCCGCGCGCAGGAACGTGTCGTTCTTCAGCTTGGGGAAACCTTTGGGGCTGCGGAGCAAAGAGCAGGTACAGGTTGTCACCCATGAAGGGTCTGGGTGCCCTGCCGGGTCCCCACGCTGGGGCAGAAGGTGCCAGATGTAAGCGGCTTATCCCCACTTCTTGACCGTAGAAGAGGCTTGCGTCCAGCTGTGACAAATGTGATAAATTATCCCCGCCACAGCCCAGGACTTCTTCTTGCCGAGGACCGCGGGCTCCCCCGGGGGAGAGGCGATGCGCTGCCCAGGACTCACGAGATTAAGTTATCGGGGCCACCAGTTGCTCCCGCCTGGAGCGGTTTGGGACGAGCGGGGCGGGCCGTCCTGCATTCCCCGCCGTCTGTGCCAGCCCACGCGGCCCCAACCTCCCCGCTGTGGGGCCGCTGGAGTCCGGCCTCCGCCTGGGAGGGGAGCCCCGGCAACCGCGGGGCCTATGCGAACAAAGTCCCCAGAACCTCCACTTGGGACCGGTGAATTAACTACCACACCAGTGGCCCCGCTGATCCCTCCCAGGGCAGGATCATCCCCCTCCCTCCCCGACCAGAGCGTCTCCAGTGACCCAGTACTGGACTCTTGTGCCAGCACCATAATCCCAGGGCCACTCCAGTGCCTCGGCGGTTTCCCCAGAGCACAGTCCGCAGCACAGGATCTCAGCACGAAACCACTATCCACAGTGCTCCCACAGTGCCAGATCGCCGTTCCCAGAGCCACACCAGTATCCCCCGTGCAGGAGTCGGAACGTGGCCCCGTTACCACACTAGAAAGGGAAGCAGGCCTGTCCGGTCCCGGTTACTTACAGGAGCCGCTCGCCACCCTCCATCCTCCTCCGCCTGTTCCCGGCCTCTCAGTTGCCTCCCAACGCGGTGCGGTCCGCCCGGTCCCGCCCCCATCGCGCCGCCATCTTTCCCCGCCCCCCTGCCCGGCTTCCGCCCCTCCGTACGCTGCCATCT